ACTGCACGATGGGGAGAGCTCCTGTTCATTGCCTCAGCTCCTGCCCACCTAGCAGTTCGAAAGCATGCAAATGTGAGTAGATAAACAGGTACCACTTCGGTGGGACAATAACAGTATTTTGTGCACCTCGGCATACAGCCATGCTGCCACATGACCAGCGTTGTCCAAAAATGTCTTCGGACAATGCTGTCTTCCTTCAGCCAAGAAACAGAGATGAGCACTATGCCCTAGAGTCGGAATATGACTAGGCAAGGGAAACTTTACCTTTTTACTTATACTTTGCAGCCCCCTTTAAATTAAACACCTTCCTATAGCCAAACCAAAGTATTAGTTTCCCATGAAAATCAATCACTTCATTTTTTTTAAAAAAATCCCAAATCTGTTAAATTTCCACCCCATGGATCTCCGGTATACATCATAAGTGTGTGGGACTGAAGTCCCAAGTTCAAATCTCTATTCAGGCATGTACCTTACCACTCATAAAGGTCACGGACCCTGAGTCTCATGCCTTATTACAGGTCATCCTCAACTTACAACAGTTTGTTTAGTGACCATTTGAAGTTACAACAGCACTGAAAAAAGTGACTTATGATAAGTTTTTTACACTTATGACCTTTGCAGCATTGCCACAGTCACGTAACCAAAATCCAGCCACTCATATTTATGATAGTTGCAGTGTCCTGAGTCATGTGATTTTTGCATCTCTCTGCGAAGCAAAGTCAATGGGGAAGCCAGATTCAACTTTGTTACTAACAACTGCAGTGATTCACCTAACAACTGTGGCAAGAAATGTCGTAAAATGGGGCAAAAACAACTTAAGAAATATCTTGCTTAACACAGGGTTCAGCTGTGGTCCTAAGCCGAGGACTACCTGTATGCTGCATGTTTCTTAGGTTGGTGAGATGTGACACTGAATTTGGACAACATTTTAATAGTATGCTATGCAAATCCAGTGAGGATGTCTTTCTATGTTTCAGTGTGTCACTAAGTAACTCATGGCTTAATTAATGAGGGATAAGCAGGTTATGCAAATACATCATAATTACACCTGAGTGTATGGGTGAGTTATGTGAGACACACACAAAGTTTTAAGCTCTCTGAACAGGAATTTCTATAAACAGTAAAATACTAAAATGTATGTACATACAGACATATACATTCCAATTTTTTAGCTTAGATGGCATAAGATTTTTGTGAAAGTGTCATATGTACCCTCACAAACTAACTGCCATGAGGGAAATCAGTTCACAAAATGGCTGCAGCTAGTTATAGACTGTGGTTAAAAACAGCACAAGAATCTGGATACATGGTGGTCCTAGTTACACATTTCCATATTCCCAACTGTTCAAAGTTGTTACAAGAATAGCATTAGAGTGAAAACCAGGGGGAGTTGGGGGGGACAAAGAGAGAGATAATGCCATTACAGTAATAGTACCCTAAATTCCTTGGAAAAGACAGGATAAAACAGGATAAAACTATGTAATAATTACTATTCAGTTCTTTTATTATTGGCTTTAAACTACTGCTCATCTTTCCACACAATTTCTCTACTCAATACCTCCAATTCTTTCTCATTTCCTCTCCATGCTACATTATGCGTACTCCATTTCTTAAACATTTTATGGCGCACACTCATTTTCTGGACTAACACTGATTCTTTCTCTCCAGCATTCATTTCTAAATTATCAATAGTACAGAAGCAGATTAATAAATTATTTTAACTATGTGGGTCACTACCATACTAATATAGATCATAAGAAAAACTTTGCTGTATCAGAGAAGAGACCCTCTCCGTGCTGCATCCTATGTGGTTCAGGGGCCAATCACACAAGTTCTGGAAGCTAAAAATACAGGGAGGCAACTGTTCCACTGTCACTCCATGGCAGCTGGTAATTATTCAAGTCTGTGAATCTTGATATTATTCCACTACAAAATCAGCAGCATCCTACCAATAATTTGGATTTCCAGTTTCATGTAGTCCATAGGTGTCCAACCTTGGCAAGTTTAAAATTTATGGACTCCTCAGCCAGCATGGGGAATTCAAGTCCACAGGTCTTAAAGTTATCAAGGTTGGATGTCCCTAGTCGCTTTTTAAAATAATCTAAATTGGTTATTATAAATGTCATTAAAGCATAATTTAACTACATATCTGCATATACATATGTGCATACATATACACACCTATTTTTTATTTTAAATAACACTATAAAAAAATTCAAGCAATTTCAATGAACTCCTTCATCAGTAAGAGGGCAAAAGGCTTATGTTTGTCAACACTTTCTAAAAACGTAGAAAACTACATCTATTAACTATGAAATGCTGCAACCTTTAAACACAGTACTTTTAATAGCATCACTTAGAAAAATTAATCAGTGGAACAACTTGCCTCCAGAAATTGTGAATACTCCAACACTGGAAGCTTTTAAGAAGAGATTGGACAACCACTTGTTTGAAATGGAATAGGGATTCCTGCCTGAGCAGTGGGTTGGACTAGAAACCTCCAAGGTCCCTTCCAACTCTCTTATTCTGTATTCTATTCTATATTCATCCATTCCTTTTGCTAATTGCCCATATTTCTATATAGGCTTCATCCTTTACATGGCTAACATGTCTCATTACAATTATTCCTTTCCAGGTCATTGACAGTTGTTCTTCACTTCTGTAACTAATAACACTTCAACATTTATGAAAATACATTTCAACATATATCATTCTACAAGTGAAATCTTGAATGTCACTGCTGTCAGCCCAAGCTTCACTTCTATTCTTACATACTTCAATCCCTCTCATCATGGACCTTTTTCAAGGCTAAACCTTAAGTACACTTTCTTGAGAGTGTGGCCCATTGGATTAGATAGTCACCTTCTAAGTAAATTTGCAAAGTATTATGCTTTAAAACATCCAACGTTCTTTCTTCTGTCTCCCCAGTCATTACTTTGCCAGTTCATTCTTCCTCTTATACTGTATCAGTACTTCAATTCTAATAAATCATTTCCTCAGTTCTTGCTTTGTATTATTGTAAAATGCATTTTAAATATTGTTTGAATGCCTCATTTTATCTGAGCAAGAATGGTCTGGAAGAGCATTATAATGAGCTTGAAGAATAGCATGCCATATAAAATATGCTGAAAGAAAATGAAAACATCTTCTAAATCTATATGTAAGTTGTTCCAGACAGCCTTTTAGCCATTACAGAATGAACTATTGCTTCTCATGCATAACAGTCAATTGGAGTAGTACAACAAGGATTTATTTAGGCAAAATTTTTCCAAGATTATTTTAAGGGCAGACATACAAGTCTTTAAATTCTTCCTGCGTGTGCTCCAACCTGATCAATCAAATGAGGTCCTACAGTCTGGTTCTATCTTACGTTAACATCTCTATTATCTGTCAAACATGATAGGAAGCATTCCATTCTCCAACATCTGTTCATCACAACTTTGGTTGATCACACTGTAGACCGAGTTAATAGGAAAGGTGGCAACACTGTTTTCTTTCAAGAGATGTATCAAGCAAATCCTCCTCCCTTAATTACAGAACACCTGGCCAGCCAATATGAGGTGATAAAACTACCTGTTTTCATTGGTTTTTAAATGAATTGTTATTTGATTTTTTTTTTTGGTCTTTTCACCTAGACCTGGTGAAAAGACCAAAAAAAATCAAATAACAATTCATTTAAAAACCAATGAAAACAGGTAGTTTTATCACCTCATATTGGCTATTACATAGCCAGCTATTACATCCCTTTTCTCTGTCCAATCTTCACAGAATAAAGAACAATAGGGCTGAAAGGGACCTCGGAGATCTAGTCCAAACCATGTATCCTATACCTATAAGTGATCCTATCGTATATGAGATCCTCATCATTCTGGATCTAGAGGGGTCCTTGGTTGTTTTCTTGCAGACACTTCATGACCCAAACTAGGTAATACCATCAGTGCTGGAAGGGGAGTAGGGTTGGTGGAATGGAAGGATGACGATGACTCTGGGGTCACTGTTGCTCTCTAAGCTTGGTGGTTTTCTTGCAGACTGTTTTATGATCCAAACTGGGTACCATCAATGATAGAAGAGTGGGGTTTGTGGAATGGAGAAGAAAATGGGGAGGATGATGGCTGTGGGGTCCTTGGTGCTCACTGAGCGCTTTGGTGGCTTTCTTGCAAGTGTTTCATGACCCAACTAAGTTACATCAGCAGTGCCAGATGGGAGCTGGGGTTTGTGGAGTGCAGGAGAAGAGAAAGGAGGATGGCTGTGGCGTCCTTGGGACTCTCCGGTGGGGTTTTTTTTGGCAGACGTTTCATGATCCAAACTAAGTAATATCGTAAGTGCTGGGATGAAGTGGGGTTCGTAGAGTGGAAGAAGAGTGGCTGTGGGGTCCTTGGGACTCTCTGATAGCCTTTCTCACGACCAAACTAGATAACACCACGAGTCCATTTATTATCCCACTTTGGGTCCTGAAAGGTCTGCAAGCAAGCCACCATCCTCAAGAGACTCCCCAGGACCCCCTCACTTCGACTCCCAGCTACAAACATCCCCCTTGATCGGCATCCCGAGCCCATTCGGGGCAGAAGAACCTGCCTGGCCTGACCTCCTTCCTCCTTCCCACGGGGCGCATCCTCACCCAATCCTTCCTCCACCCTTTCCTGGACCTAAAGGTGAATGAAGTTTCTCTCCTCCACCAACACCACCACCAGCCCGGTTCCTCCAAGCTGCTTCCCCCACCCCCGCCTCGGACTCCGCCTTTGGGGCTTTCAGTTTGAGGGAAGACACCCCAACTCCCCCCCATCCAGCCAACTAAGCTCCCCGTGGTCGTGGCTGGGGATGCTTCTCTCCGAGGACCGACGGCCAGCTATCCTCACCTCACCGCGGTCCCACATACTTTCTTCAGCCCCTTTTCCCTGAGGAAAATCCTCCTTTTTTTTCACCCCTCACAGACACCTCGCCCTTCCCCGCGCTTCCCCTCAGACCCGTCACCGCCGCTCCACTCGCTCAGCCCAACTCACTCGGAGCCGTCGCCCTCCCCGCCGGTGGGGCTGGGTCCCTCAGCGATGGTCGGGGTGATGTTGAGGGCCGGCGGCACCAGTTTCCTTTTAGCCGGCATGGCAGCGCGGCGGAGGCCCGGGGCTGGCGTTCCGTGGCCGCCTTAGCGAGGGACCCGCCTCACAAGCAGCAGCAGCAGCAGCAGCAGCGGCGACGCCGTCGTCGTCATCGCCCGGCTTGGCTGCCCTAAGCGAGGCCGAGGCTGCGCGCGAGGCCTAAAGAAGAAAAAAAAAACCTTGAAGGGAACGTGAAGAAGGCTGAGAGGAAGAAGGGGGCGTGGCCGAAGCGCGAGCGCGCGCGAGGGAGAAGTCTCCTCCCAACCAACTTCGCCGCCCCGCGATTGGCTGAGGCTTCACGCCGCCGCCTCGTGATTGGTCGGCTCACCCGGTGGGGGTGGGTGGGTGAGGTAGGCGCGCGCGCACGCGAGCCCTTCTCCCGATTGGCCGGCCGCTGGAAAAAAAAAAGGGGCCGCGCGAGCCGGCCAGGAGAAACGAAATAGCTCGCGCCCGCCCGCTCCGCTTGAGGAAAGCTCGCGATTGGTCGAACGGCTTTAATGAAGTGTGTGTGGAGAGAGAGAGAGAGAGAGAGAGAGAGAGAGAGGACGTCGAGTTGAGAGACGCATGCGGAGAAAGCGGGGAGGGGAGTTGAGAGGGGTGGAGGAGAAAGGAAGCAAGTCTCGCGAGAATGGACCTGGGGGGGGGCCGCCACCTGAAAGCAAAGGTGTCCCCAACCGCGACAGGAAAGGTTGGCGCATGTGCACAGCGAGCTGTGGAATAAGGCGGGAAAGCTTTTTTTTTTTTTTAGCGCGAGGGCAGAAGCTTGTCAGTTGAAGCCAAGCCTGAGGCGAAGTAAACGCTTCGGTTGCTGATTTCCCCGTGCTGTGGGCAAATTTCAAACAAAGGACTCCACCAAATGTTTTTTTAAAATTATTCTTTTTCTGCTGAGTCGGCAAAACCAGAGTTTACACTGAACCCGCTTTTGGCCTTGCCTGCAAGAGAAATGCTTCATGAGGAAATCTGGAAGTTGAGTCATGGCAACTGGGATTTTTTTTGTTGCGTTTGGCTGCTTACCCAAAAGTAGCTTCTTAATCATGAGGAAATGTTCCCAGGGAAGATGCTCCTGGTTGGGCTTCCTATAGAAAAAGGAGTGTGTGGAGGTTGCATTCTCTCTTGCCTTTCTTACTCAATCTGAATGCTGAAATGATCGTTAGGAAGCTAGATCTTGAAGAATAAAAAATGGGTTCAATATGCTGATGATTCAACTCTCAGAAAACAAAGGCCTGGAACATCTGCTCAAGAAAAAGCAAAGACGAAAATGAGAATTTCAGTTTCTTCCTGAACATCACAAAAGGCCATGGCCATGGCAAGGAAGGGGAACGTTGAAAATGATGGTGAAGAGAGAATGTGTAGAAAAATGTATTTTCCTAGCATCAATGTACCTCAAAATGGTGGATGCAGGGTCATGTGACTGTCATTTTGTGATCTCAAGTGGCTTTCAAAAAGCATAGTCGGGTTAACCCGATTCACTTAATGACCGATTTGCTTAACATCTGCAGTGACTCATTTAACAATCATGGCAAAAATGTCATAAAATCTGGCATGACTTATTTTAACAACTGCCTTGCTTAGCAACTGAAATTGTGGTCCCAATTGTGATTAAGTCGGAGACTTCCTGTATACTGAGTATGCTGATGATTGATGTAAGCCTCCAGTTCTAACCAATCAGATGATGCTGTTGAGGAACTGAGCAGGTGCCTGGAAATGGTGCAGCTTTAGACAAGGAGGAATTGGCTCCAACTCAACCCTTACAAGATAGAATGGCTTTGGGTTCTTCCCCCCTCTCGTTTCTGGGTATAGTGATGTGTTAGCTTTGACCCTCCCTGGATCTTGGAAGGGAAAGGAGAAAGGAGATGCCATGCGTTCAAGCAGGCTTTAGAAAAGGCCAAAGAACAAGAAACGTTATTGCTCGTATGTGCTGGATAATTCAGAAAATAAGAATATAAATATATAATATCTGATGTGACAATCAGAATTGGAATCATGCAGGAGGCAATGTTTATTTCAGTGACTTTATGAAAGCAAATGCTGGAGTTAGAAAAATGGTAGAAAGCATATTGAGACATTTGAATTTTAGTGTTGAAGACTTTTGAGAATAATAGTTATCCAGGGAAACAAACACAGGGAACAAATCAATCCAGAGTTATCGGATGGTTGGGCTCCAATTATTGAAACGTAGCTTTCTTGAAAGTCAATAACTGGGAAAGGTGAAAAGGAAAACGAAGGAGAACCAGCAAGAAGGTTGATGAACTTGATTATAGTAGTGCTGAGTGCACCATTGGAGAAAACCTGAAGGCCCACTTGGGGACAGTTCATGGAAAAAATTTGTCTGATCATTAAAAATTGATACCAACTTGATGGTGTATAATCTCTACAGCAAAATTAAATATTTTTAAATGCTGTGCTGCTGTTTTTTCACCCAGATTGAAGCATCCCTGAGCAGTCTGCCACAAGAGTCAGAAAGTATAAAACCCACAGACCAACCACAAGTTGATCTGTCAATACAAGACCTTTTAAACAACAATAGTAGGAAATTTGCAGCATCTTCAATAAAAGTCTGTTAAATGCTGGGGGAAGCAAGAATCATCATGTTTGTTGAATGCCAAAATTAAACAGCTGGAAATGGCTCCTCAGCCTCCTACTATGTCTTAGAACTGGAGTATGAAATATCATCTTCCAAAGCAAGACAACAAGGGATCCCTCTTTTGTCTCATCTCTCCTTTATATTTGTCATTAAGTTTTTCTCAGCACTGTTAACAGAATAGCCACATGTCCATCTAACCAACCTGAAACACAGCCAGGCACTCTGAGAAAAATGGCTGTGTACTTGTGCTAGAAGAAGATTCAACCCGCAGTATTGTTCTGTTCCTTTCATTCTCACCCACTGTATTACCCTATCCATCTGCTGAGCCGCTCACATTGTTCTCCCCACATTCCCATGGCAGCCAAACACCTCTTAGTCACTTAAAAATAGAAAGAACAGATCTCTCGTCTTCCAATAAAAGACAAATCAGGGTTTGCCAACAGGTTGAGGCGTTGATGTAACACACACACACACACACACACACACACACACACATACAGAAGCGTTGCATTACATGTGCCTGGCTGAGAAAGAAACACATTATATAACTATCTGGATCTTCTGATGCATATGAACTCACCCTGCTTTTTTATTTCTTAATGTACATCCATATACATGGATCTGTATTCATATAATGTTTATAGTTCTCTATAAACAAAAGTGAAGATCTGCACAAGTCCACCTTAGTTTAAAGTTATTATATTCACAAATGATATCTGAGACATCTATGCACTTAGGATGTATGCATGAATATTAACATTCAGCTACAAAATGCCTATTGTGCAAACTATAAGTTACAACTGGTGTCTTGAAATCAAAAGTAAATGTGAATTCCTATTCTCAATAGAACAAAATTTTGCTTTTATGCATCCAACTATGCATTTTTTTGCAAAAGCACACATAACTATGTTTTGGAGTTAACTAAGCATGACTAGCATGGACCAGTGAAGAACAAAAAACTGGACAATGCTTTACATTTTTATTATGCTGTGATGCATTTCTTACATTTCTGGTTTGTTTTCCTGGTATAGATTGAAAGACAGATTATGATCACAGTTGAGCCCAAACTTTTTGTTGCTAAGACATTTGTTAAGTGAGCTTTGCCCCATTTTATTACCTTTCTTTCCACAATTAAGTGAATCACTGCAATGGTTATGTTAGTAACACAATTGTTAAATGAATCTGGCTTCCCCATTGACTTTGCTTGTTAGAAGATCACAAAAGGGGATTGTGTGACCCTGGGTCACTGCAACCATCATAAATATGAGTCACTTGCCAAGCATCTGAATTTTGATTAGCTGACCATGGGGAACGGTCATAAGTGTGAAAGACAGTTATACATCATTTTTCTCAGTGCTGCTGTATCTTTGAACCATCACTACAAGAACTATTGTAAATCAAGGACTACCTGTATTTAAAATAGCAAGAAATTACTTATGAATTATCTTATTAAGCCAGTTTGCAATATAAACCAAGTAGTAAACCAGTATCTTTTCTCACAATTTCTTACTGCAGGTTTTGAAGCATACACATTCAAAAGGAATATGTTTTGCCACAGGACCAGAACTTGAACAATTTCAGTGGTCAAAAAGGATGCACATGATCAGCAGGTTGTTCAAATCCAGGAGTAATCTAACAAGAGCCTTGGCTTTGCTCTTTTTGCAAAAGACTAAAACAGCTATCCTACTAAAATAGATATGTAGGTGAAAGGTTTGTTATTGAACATCTTTGCACTGCAAACGTCCCTCTAAATGAATACATAAAGTAATCTGCTTTATGGTGCTTTAGAGCAGTGCTCCTAGGATCCATGGAGGATATCGCCAAGACCATCTCAGAGCTCCTTAAAATCAAAATTATATAGTGACCTATGTTGAAAAAGAATACAATATTAATATTCCATCAAATAATAACGAGAAGCAGAGGCAGCAGTGAATATGTCAATCTTAATTTTTGATATGGTAAATGTTGATAAATATATAAAAAGTTATTTTGGAGTCCTCTATATATAATTTTTAAAAATGGGCCCTGAGGAAAAAAAACACTTTTTGATCATTACTTTAGAAATATTAAGAGTACTAACTGCGACAACTCCGCAGTGGTTCAGATGAAAAATCCTAAAGAAAGAAAACCAATGAGCAGAAAGTATTTGTATAAAATAAGGATTGTTTTAAATGTTATTTTGGTGCTTTAGAAATAAGCGATGTTAGTTGCTTTTTTGCATGTTAAAAATCTGTTCATGCTTGAGCTGTTTTTTCTGAAAAGTAGGAAGTTTGGAGTTGGGTAGCCCAAGACACAAAAGCAAGGAGCTCTATCTCATATCAAAGTGAAGTCAAGTAGTTGCTGATTTTTCTCGCTAAAGTAACCTTGGAGAACAGATGAGTAAAGCATTTGTGATTAGGGTGAGGCTGAAGAGGCCAAAGATTGGGGTCCAAGGGGCACCTTGACAAATGTGCTGGCGCTGGCATCATATAGTTACGTAATTATCTTTAGAAGTAAAGCCAATGGATTGGTTATCCAAAGATAAGATTGATTGCTTTTTATCAATACATCTGCTTTCTCCTTGCTCTGACAGGGACTACTTCAAGTACATCTAATAAGCCAAGAAATAGGAAAGACCTTTGGTCAGAGCTCCTTCAGGCTCGGCCTTCAAAATCTGGAAAAATATATATTTTAAAGTACATTTATTGTACAGCAATGATCCCTTAGGGCACAGTTGGTCACCTGAAGGGAGGAAGTGGGGCATATCACATCTGCCCTCAAGTCTGGATTTTCAGACTTTGTCTTCTGGGAAACAATGAAATTTCTTAGAAGTTTATCAGCTTGAAAATAACAGTGATATGCTGTTAAAACTTTTTGTGTATACGGAAGATACTTCTCAATAGTAATAGCACTTAGACTTATATACCACTTTATAGTGCTTTAGAGCCCTCTCTAAGCGGTTTACAGAGTCAGCATATTGCCCCCAACAATCTGGATCCTCATTTTACCCACCTCGGAAGGATGGAAGGCTGAGTCAAACTTGAGCCTGGTGGGATTTGAACTGCCAAATTATAGGCAGCTGGCTGCAGCAGAAGTAGCTTGCAGTATGCTGAAGTACTGTATAGTTTAGAGGAATATAGGTATATAGGAATTGTAGGTTTGAAAGATTACATTTATTTTATACTAGACTCTAAAGATCATCCAACGTGGGGCTTATATAAAGAATTCTGAGCCCATTCAGAATTAGAGTTAACATTTTGTCCATAGAAAAATCCATTCCTGATTAACAAAAGAGAATTGTTTTGTTGTTTTTGCTATTAACTGTTGACATCCTTGTTGATATATTTAGTGAACCAAAAGTAGATTCAAATCTATCATCTACCGAACCTTATCAGCATTAGAATGATAGGCTTTTTGAACCAAGCAATGTGGGATGGACTTAATAGCATAATTTCTGAAAAGCTGTATTCATTCCAGAAGTATATTTGTAAGTCTTAAATGGAGAATTAATGCTTGAGAGATGTATACTGATAATAAATAAGACAGTATCCATTTTGGAAAATTCACTGATCTTGGAAACAGGCTTTAAAGTCTGAGACAAATGCTCAAGAGTCATTCCCCTGGCATCAGACACGATGCAAACCTTCTCCAGCAGCCTCTTCTTTCTGCCATGTCCTGCTTTCTATTATGCTCTTGGCTTTGTCCTGTCCTTAGCCTACTGAGACAGACTTAAGCTTCCTTAGTTCTACCGGAGGTAATGTAGCCTTTCCCATTTGTTCCTACTCTTATCTAATCTCAAGATACATAAAACTAGTTATTAGATCACATGAATTTAGGTAAGGGACTTCCTGGCTATAACAGTCACCTGTTTTGTGAAAGTTCACCAGGTTACCTGCCAATTTGTCCAGAGAAGTGCCACTCCACCCAGAACCTAAAGACAGAAATCCCACATTACTAGAAGAAAAAGGAACACACAACCATTTGGTCTTTTCAGGGCTGAGTTTAAGCCTGTTCCTCCCCATCCCCAGCTTCCAAGCCCTGGGTTAAGATCTTGAAAGCATTGCTTACACAACCCGGGATTGAGATGTGCAACTGGATCTAATCAGCCTATTGAGAATACTTGACACTGTTGAGGGAATGACCTTCCCCAAAGGTTTCGTGTTGATGTCAAAGGGACAAATAAAAGGATTGAGCAATCCCAGGCCGTAGGGTAGACTTCTCAATCTCACGAACAGCAGCTGAAATCTGCATAGAGGAGAAGGGAACAACTGCAACATGTCTCCTACCTTTGACACACACCCCCTCCACATCCAGAAGGATAGCATAATTGTGCCAAAAGTTGCTGAGAGATCAGAAAAGAATCAGGAGAGTTGCATCATTCTATCTCTGTCAATAGTAATCAACAAGTACAATCAATGCCATCGCTGTTGTGCCTTTGCCTGGAACAGGTCCAGGTAATCCACTTTTGCCAGGGCCCTTGAAGCTGAAATCCGATCACCTCCTCAAACTTTCCCCAGAAAATTAAGTGGGAGAATGGGCAAACGTTGAATTGTTGGATCCAGAAGTGGCCTTGTTCAAGGTAGAAGCACCTCGTCCCTCAAGGAAGCAGTCACCACCCCCTGAACAAACCACATTTGTGACCCAGGAACTCTTGACCACCAGGAGGGGCATTAATCTAGCAGACAAGGGGTTAGATAAACACCCCTCAGGGACCCTGGCCACTTCCTAGGAGTTATAGAGTCAAGCATGTCTCACCTAACTGATACTGTCTCAGCCAAATTTGGAAGGATTGGCCCAGGCAGAACCAATTTGAAGCAGATCCAAGCAATTTTACTTGGCACCTGCCTAGAACATTTTTCTAGTGTCTCTGAAGACTTTCTGCTGAACCCTCCCTCCCCGGCAAAGAATTGGGCCCCCGGCTGGATGTGATGAGAAAAATAAGCTTTTGCTGCTCTTATCACCACAGTACTTTACACATTTGGTTGGATTAACTTTTTGTCCCCACCAGTGGTGCCCTCTTCCCTCTTTTCTTAAGTGCAGTCACCTTTACAATTTTCCTTGTGCAGTTTTCTCCTTGGCTGCATCTCCAGCTTTTCTTACTGTTACTAATATAATCCTCCGCTTTTCTCAAAATTGCCAGTTCTTGCCCACACACATATATATACAGGAAAGTAACAGATGCGTTGATTAGGAGAGTACCTCTTGCAACTAGCTTCTGTTCAGAAAAAGTCAGGCCACCTCTCTGGATTATCAGTCCAAGGCATGGAACATTTTTGATGAGCTTGGAAAAGACAAAGATGTACTAAAGGCCAAAATGATAGACAAGTTGAAGATAACTACTGTAGAGAAAGAAAAGAAGAATCTTCTACCCTTGTGTTTACTGTTACTATTGCTGTGGCTACTAATAGTAGTAACAATGATTTCTTATGCATGACTTAGCATTACCATCTGGTAACTTTTAAAACCAGATCATCATCGAACCAGCCCTGCCATCGTGCAGCAGGTGCGAGACCATTGAAAATGGTGTCTCAATGCTGTAAAAGAAGGAATACCCCAAGGAATCTTACAGCTGCTTTGAGACATGGATCGGGCCCGTTCATAATTTTTTATTTATTTATTTTCTATGTCAACCACCTCACTGATAACAGCGACTCTGTATCATACAGGTGCATTAAACAGAGAAGACAAGAGTTGAGCATGCATCAGACTCCCTGTGCCGTTTTGTGCTTCCCCACTAAGTTCTCAGAGCCTTTGTAAACTGCTGAGATTGATAGGCCGCTGTGATTAAAATCCAATTTATGAGCTTGCTATTGTTGTTTCCTTTGAGAAAAGAGGGAGTGAAAATTATTTTTGAAAAATAGGTGGAAGGTCACTGTGACAGCCCAGCCGAAGACTTTGGACCTCTCAGCTCAGCGCCCACTCAAATTAGAAACGAAAGGCAGGATGGACCAAAGTTATTTAGATAATGGTTACCCAATTTGTCTCTGTTATGATCGCCTGACTTCTTTTATGCCTCTGCCCGCTGAGCTGACAGTCTTTCTCCCATTGGAGAGTTGGACGAAAGGGAGGGATTGAATGAGCCTGACGCTATTTTTGTATCGTTGGAGTTTAAACTTTGCCATCTAGTAGGGGAAAAAAAAGAAGAGGTTTTGACTGGACAGACGGACCAGAGACTGGAGAAGAAAATAACCGTACTCAACTTCGCGGCAAGCAAAAACCTTTTGGGATTGGAAACAATTGGCTAAACCGAATCAACACTGGAGAACGCTGTCAGGAGTGGGTAAGGTGGTGCAATTTCGGGTTCTTTGCTCCAAATTAACACAGGTTCCGTCTTTGGAAACAAGTGCAGGACAAATAAGAGGGCAGAGGCCAGGGAAGAGAAACACGCGCGAAGTGAGTGGTACATGGAGATAAGTCTGTTAATCAGAAGGCGAGAGACAAGCAAACAAAAAGGAGTTTTCAGAAGGCCAGCCTCAGATGAGAAGAACCCCAAACTACTCAAATTTCTTCAGCTTTATTTTTTATTACATTTTTCAAAGCTGGAAATGTCCTCCAAATCACTGGGTGTAGTTGTGGTGTATTTGGGTGCAAACTTGAAGACTAAATGTACAAAGCCTTAATTGGCAGGATATCTATTGTGCTGAGAATACATGAATTGTTATTTATTAACAGAATTTAACAGAATAACAGAGTTGGAAGGGGGCTTGGAGGCCTTGGAGCATCCACAAGTTATGAAGTTCCACTTATTAAGAGTTCTCCCTGTCAGGAAGTTTCTCCTTAGTTCCAAGTTGCTTCTCTCCTGGATTATAGTTTCCATCCGTGGCTTCTAGTCCTGCTTGAATTATTGAATAATTGAATTATTAGGCTGTCCTGCGGCGAGTTGGTCGTGACGAGTTGGTCCCATTACATTCTGGAATAGGATGATGGTAATACATCCATGGAGATCCTCCGTCATCCAGGTCATGGTTGTCTCAAAGGTGCTTCTTCCAAAAGGGCAACTGGACTTTATTTGTTTATTTTTTTTCCTTTGAAAACATTTCGCTTCTCATGCCAGCTCCTGTTCAGTTCAACCAAAGAAGCTTTTTGGTTGAGAAGCGAAATGTTTTTAAAGAAAAACAAAATCTGGTTGCCTTTTGATAAAAAAGCACCTTTGGGAGCATAATACGGAAGGCTCGAACCTAAAAAAAAAAGGCAATTCCATGAAACTGTGGCAAGAGAAGTTGTAAAATGGGGCAAAATTCACTTAACAAATGTTTTGCTCAGCAGCATCAGAAATTTGGGGCTCAATTTTGATCATAAGTTGAGGAGTACTCCTACTTTATGAACATAGGGGAGAGCCAAAAGCTTCTCTTGGGACAGGTAAACTGGTAGACCTTTCCATTAGGACATCCTTCCTTGAAGATAAACTAAGGTTCCAGTCCTCATGATCATAAATGAAGAGGTGAAACAGGAATCAGTCCTTGAACAAGTGATGTTATCTGGTTTTTTTTGTTGGGCTTTGTTTACATGAATTGGTGGAGAATATGGAGGGTTTTTTTTTAATTTACTCGTATCAATTTATATTCTTGGTTTTCTTTTTCCTTGTTTATTTTATCGCTCTGTTATTTTACTTTCACTTTGTCCAAACTTTGTTTTTTATTTCTTCTTCTAAACTTCTTTTTCTTCTTTCATTTCTTCTATTTTTTCTTCTTTCATTTCTTCTATTTTTTCTTCTTTTATTTCTTCTTTTTACGGTTTTGAGCTGCCTAGAGTAAATAAATTGAATAATAAATAATGTAATCTTCTGCCTGCAAAATAAAAGTTTTAGCTCTCTAATATTAATACCGTCCTTTAATACTGTATTCAATAATACCGAAGTCACTTGGCTCTGAAAGATTTCCAGAAGATTTTGTGTTTTTCCTGGGACCTTTCATCAAACTAAATGGATAAATAGATGTTTGTTTGTTTGTTTGTCAATAATGTTGAAGTCCTCTAGCATTTGTCTCTGAAAGATTTTCCAGAAGATTCTGTCTATGGAGATCATCCAGGTCATGGTTGGGACAAAGGTGCTTTTTCAGGAGGCAACTGGACTTTCTGGTTATTTTTTGAAGATGTTTCCCTTCTCATCCAAGAAGCTTCTTCAGCTCTGACTGAATGGTGGGGGAATGGAAGGATTTATACTCCTTGCAGACAGCTGGTCATTTGCATCCTTTTAGAGAGTTGTTGAGGCCTCTTGGAGGTTTATCTGTGTCCTCACCTGAGTGGTGCAAATGGGTGTGGAGCCTTCTTGGAACAGTTGAAAGGACCGTGTTCAGTGGTGGGATTCAATTTTTTTTTACTACTGGTTCTGTGGGCATGGCTTGGTGGGCATGGCAGGGGAAGAATACTGTAAAATCTCCAGTCAGAGTTGATATTTGCCAGTTCTCCAAACTACTCAAAATTTCCGCTACCGGTTCTCCAGAACTGGTCGGAACCTGCTGAATCCCACCTCTGACAGTGTTGTAGACTAGTCCCTCCTCCTCTGTTAAGAGAAGTCTGTTCAATTTTGCCATAGATGGCCTCTTTGACCCTTCTTTCCAACTGGAGGTCCCCTCTGTCCAAAATGTGTGTGCTTTATAAGTTAAAAATCATCTGTTCTGTGAACATAACTTCAGCTGTAACAGATTGGTCATAGTGAGTATTAGCAATAGCACTTAAACTTATAGACTGTTTCACAGTACTTTACAGCCCTCTCTAAGGGGTTTACAGAGTCAGCCTATTGCCCCCAACAATCCGGGTCCTCAGTTTACCCACCTCGGAAGGACGGAAGGCTGAGTCAACCTTGAGCCTGGTGAGATTTGAACTGCCAAATTGCAGGCAGCCGGCAGTCAACAGAACTAGCCTGCAGTACTGCACTCTAACCACCACACCACCACAGCTCTTGGCTACTGCTACCTGTAATTTAACGGTAATCTGGTTGGAGTCATGCACCACAGCAACTGTACTATAGACCTAGGAAAATAAGACACAATTACTCCTTTCCCATAACTTGCTAGGCCAAACCAGCAAACCTTATCATGGCATAAGGTGACAACTGAGTTGATGCCTTGGTTTGGTTTCCATTCATAGGTTCAACTAACTCCACGGTTTAACCACTCTGTTCGTTGAGTCCACCCTATTCTGCCTAAGAAGCAGCCACTCCCGAGCCTCTAACTCATTTTCTCTCTCTTGCAGTCATGGCCTGCCCCAATCTTGATGGCGTGGAGTTGCTGGATCTCCTTTTTGATGGGCAGGACGGAGTCCTTCGCAATGTGGAGCTGGGATCCTCAGAGGCCCCTTGGATGGCACAAGAAGGCAGGGTAAGCAGGTGGCACCAGGATGAGAAAGGGGCAGGGAGGTAGCAGCTGAGCAAGATGTAGGAGAATAGGGTTAACTGCTCCATTCTGGCCAAAAGTATTAAAAAATATTCTATGCTCGGAGCAAAATTTGGTAGCACAACACTTGAAGGTTAATATCTCAAACAAGAGGAACTTAAACAATAGGAATAGAGTGGAGTGGAGTGGAGTGGAGTGGAGTGGAGTGGAGTGGAGTGGAGTGGAGTGGAGTGGAGT